GCCAGTTCTTTACATGCAGCATCTTGTTTAATGTGTACCAAACCTGGGGGTGATATTATCATTTCACCCCACTTAGATGTGAGGAAAGTCCAGTTTAAAAGTGGTTTGTTGGAGATTTTTTGGCTAGACTGAATTTGAGGTCAGAGAATAGGACATTTCAGGAGGCTTAAACTGGGTAAATTCTGGGTAACCATGTGTCCCTGGAGAACAGTGTGATAGTGGATTAAACCTTGTCATATCCCAAGACGACAAGCTCAGTTCCTGTAATTCTCCAAAGGAAGCTCCTGGCAAATCATACAGGAGTTCATTCATTCTTCCACTTATTCAGCAAATACTATGTGCTGCTATTTGGAAGGTATTGAACTGGCTACTTTGGGTCAAATAAGGAGCCCCAAGCCATGACCCTTGCCATCAAGGATGTCACAGTTGAGGGACAGACAAATCACATGCAAAAAAAAAAAACCTAAAAAAATGGGGTAAGAAAAATAATTAACATGCACTGATTGTTTATTTCATACCATGCATATGCTTTAGAAAGTTTATCTCATTTTATCTTGAGCACAGGGTATGAGGTGGGCACAGTTATTATCCTCATTTTGCTAGCACACTTGAGAAAACATAAGGATCTGTCCAAGGTCATGCAGTCAATGTGTGGTGAAGCCTTCAGCAGAGTCCCTGCTCTTAACCTCATGCTGCCTCTACATTTAAACTGTAATAGTTGATAAACTGGTTAGACCAGAGAATAGAAATATGAGACATACAGTAAAGAAATATTAAATAATATCCACAGAAGCAATGATGAAGAGGGAGAGTGTGAGGAGTCAACTGAAAATGAGATGGGAGACAAAGGGAGCTGAGGAAGAAGAGAAAGGAGAGAAGAGATATCAAAGGAGGAGAACCAAGGAGTACAGCATCCATTATCAAAGGAATAGAGACTTTGAGGGACAAGAATGTCACTGTAGTGTGGTGTGATCCATGGAGATGAGAGTGAGAAAATGTCGTGGCTTTGGCTATTAGTAAGTTTTTATTGACATTCTCAGGAAGCTTTGGGAAGAGAATAGAACAGAAGCCAAATTGCATTGGGTAAATTCTGAGTAACCATACATGTCTAAATTGCTGGTTTTAATAACAGAGAGGACCATCAGGCAACACAAACATGGTAAGTAGGCCAGGTGTGAGAATTCATAGGGAGTGGGAAGGCCCGTGGCCAACTGGAGGTCCGTATTTCCTGATCTTTTGATTTTCCAAAAGTAGCTAGAAAATCAGAATTTTTGGCATGATATACCTTAACTTCTAAATGTTAGTTCAGGGGTGCCTGGGTGGCTCAGTTTGTTGAGGGCCCTGACTCTTGATTTTGGCTCATGTCATGATCTCACGGTTTGTTGAATCAAGCCCCACATTGGGCTCTGCACTGATGGTGCAGAGCCTGCCTGTGATTCATTCACTCCCTCTCTCTCTGCCCCTCCCCTGTTCGTGCATGCTCACATTCTCTCTCTCTCTCTAGGTAAATAAACATTTTTTTTAAAAAAATAAACGTTCAATTAGAAAAACACCTGCAAAAAACAACACTGAGGGCCCAGTGTAATACATCTGTGGGCTGTATTTGGCCTACTATCTGCAAGGTTCTGGAATCCTCTTTCCAAAAGTTTAGATGTGAGATGAAGAAGAATCTCAAAGAAGCATGGTTTAGGATTGTATGTGTGTGTCAAGGTCTACTTATTTTTGTTTTCTTGAGTTTGATAAACAAAAACTCCCTGAGAAGGGGGAATAAAAGAAAGAGAGAGAGAGAGCCAAAATATCAAAGATAGATGTCTGGAAAATTTAAGTCTCAGGGAAACTGAGAATGAGATTAAGAGGCCAGTTATTAGAAACATGATGAGATGGGCTTATTTCCCACATTTCATTCATTTACTTACTGTAGACATCACTGTACCATATCTGTGAATCACTTGTATTGTGATTTGTTCAACAGTTTTCTTTAAATCCCCTCTTATTTTGTATGTAAAAACAGAAAAATAAAAATAGAGATGAAAAGTAGAAATGAGAAATGAAGCCGTGTATCATTACTTATACTGTTACTCATATTTTTCAAAAATGTTATTTTTAAAACCTACAGGACTACTTGACATTTTGTCAAAAGTTTATCCCCATTCCACTTAAAATAATCGTGTAAATCAGTAGTAGAACATAAACTGTGTCTTGGGAAAGATGGAATGCTTAGAGTTCTTTAGGTCATTCAAAGCAAGAATTTCTCCATGTTAGAATAACTGTATATGGCCTTGGTTTTTTTTTTTTTTATTATTATTATTCAGGCAGGTCAACTTCAATGGCCTGATCTGAATAAAATGGATAAAGGCAGGCACCTCTTTGTCTGACAATTTTTCAGTGATGCTATTTGAATACCAAGAAGTTTGGAGCTTGACTGCAGAACCTTCTGTATTAATCTAGCCTTGGGGAAAAAAAAACCCTAAAATACCATCAAGTAACAGGAGATTTGTCAGCTTTCCTGATTACACTTTTCATATAAAACATAAAGGTCAGAAGATTATAAATGAAAGGTCAGTTCAGCAAATACATATATATATATTTATATATTGGCAATCTCATAACATAGGTAACAGGACGGAAGTTGGAAACTACTATTGAATTCTCAGAAAGAGATGAGTTTGTTGGCAGTGTGTAAATATCATCGCTGTTTCTGTGGCTGTTCATTCTGATAGCTACTTCTTTATGCTGAGTCTCCAAAATTTGATTTAAAAGATACTGAAGAAGACTGTCTTCCTGAGGAAGATTTACTTTGCAGCAGTTTTACTTTCTTTAAAATAAATGGTTCAAAGGGGGGGAAATAGACTTCTTTTGCCTTGTTTCTCAGACTCACACATGCCATTCCTGAACCAAAACTCTAAAATGGAAAAAGCAAGAAGCCAAGCCCTTGTGCAAAGGCAGTGGTGCATAGAGAAAGGTTTATAGTGAGTCCATCATCATGAAAGATTAAAGGGGAACTGGGCAGCTGTAGCGTGACTTGTACAAATAGAGTTGCTCAAAGATTCATGCAGGTACGACCTGCTTTGAAACCCATTACTGTCCAGGAAAATGTTTCAGCCCATTTGGGCTTTGGGAGCACAGATGATTCTGGGGGTGCAATAGCAGGCCAAAGGGGGTCACAGAGCCATGGTGTTAGAGTCGTGGGGCATCTCACAGATTTCCAGTGTGAGCTGTGTTGGGGATTTACGGCCTGCTATACATCTTTCAACTGTATTTTAAGTGCAGGGAATTGCGCAGAATATCATCATTCTGTCCAAGTAACTTGCAACATACGTCACAACCCCTTATTGCCTTATGCTAGTGCACATTATAAACCGGCAAAAATATACACTTGAGAGAGGCTTCCTATTTTCTGTGAGGTCTTCAGCACAGCTTTGCATATAACCGAGGCCAAAGGCATGTCACACAGCACTGTGCGCTAGTAGTCAAGCATATCCATTGAAGCTTGGCCACGATGTTTGTGGTTTCAGCTTTCTGTGGTGTTATTTTCTGACTACTTTCATCTCTGTTAAGCTTCCCCATTAAACTATGTGCTATAGATGCAGTTTCACTATGGATAGAAACCTAAATATCGAAAGCTAAAGAAAAATAGCATTACAAAGCATATTCTGGTCATCTTAAAAATCGTCTCAATGTTAGCAAATATGTTTGCAGTGCACTGCTGAGATTGCAGACTTCACAGTGTAGTCTCTGCAGTTTGCATTGCTGAAGTCCCAAGTACCTATGGCAGAACTTGTCCCCGCCCCCAAAATATAATTTTCTTCACCACTAAGCTTCATTAATTAAATCATTGACTCTGGCTTGCTGGTAAGGACCAGTTCTTACAACAAGTGTATCCAATTTCCTGCTAGTGGTAACTTTCATTCTTCCTGGAATAGCAGGAAACATTAATTTTGCATTGGACCCAGGAGTCTTAGGAAGCTGGAATTATAGGCACCATTGCCCCACCCTTTTCTCCCCTAAAATAAAATGAAATAAAATAAAATGAACAGCAGCTCCGCAGTGAGGCTTGAGGGATGGGTAATGACAAAGAAGAGAAAAGGGCATTAATTTCAGGATGGGGACAGCTGCCCGGCACTATCTCCCTTCGGATTTTGGTTCTTATAGCATCACGGTGAGTTATTAATATGTATGATCTATACTTTATTCAAACATTATAAATCTATGCAGAAGTCTGGTGTTTGGGTTTTCCTTTATAGCTTTCATTCTTCTTCCCAGAATTATCTCATTTTGATCGGGAAACTTTTGCATAAAAAGCACACACCAAGAACTCACATTTCCATACCATAAATATTAAAAGGGGGTTAAGCTTTACAGTTTCTTCTCCCATCCCAATGGGAGGAAAGTTAGCCTTCTAATCAGGAGGGCCATTATTAATGTTCTTTTTATTCACAAGCCAAAAGGTAAACTTTAACTGACAATATGAAATTGTACTATGTAGTTCCTTTCATTTATGTAAATTGTGGAATGCTTGGCTATGCCTTGTCATTTGTATGATACACTCTCAATATGCTTTTGAAGGATGTCCTACAAATCAAGCAGTTATCTGAGTTGTTAAGAACAGTTGGTTGGCTTATTTTTTGAGGAACAAACCAAGTCCAGACCTTTTTTAAGGATTGTGATGAAAGTGCTTTTTGCTGGATAATTATGAAGTACGGATTTATCACAGTATACATTCATCACAGTGAATCTGTAACAGAGAAGAGGGAAATGGAACAAGAAAGCTGAATGTCTTCTTAGTAGCTTTTAAGCTTCTTAGCAGCTTCCTGTCTCTTGTTTATTGTCATTTTTTGCCAACATAAAGGCGTAGTCATAAATTTTGGTTCCCATGGAAATATAAAGGAATGCGTGAGCTATTTCATTTGGGTGTACTGTCTGCTAATCACCCAGTCTCGGCTGTTGTACTTCGTGATGGGAAATGAACGTGCTAATTGGTACTCTTTTTTTTATTTCAGGAAACCTGCCATATGAATATAAAATAGTGATTGCTGGGAATCATGAACTGACATTTGATAAAGAATTCATGGCAGACCTTGTTAAACAGGACTACTACCGTTTCCCCTCTGTGTCCAAATTGAAACCAGAGGACTTTGACAACGTTCAGTCCCTCCTGACAAACAGTATTTACTTACAAGACTCGGAGGTAACAGTGAAGGGATTCAGGATATACGGGGCACCTTGGTAAGTGCTCATTTGAACAATCTTCCCCTTCGTTTTTTTTTTAGTTCAGTATTAAGAAATCCTGGTGCAGACTTCGGCACTTTAAATGAAAAGGATAAGGGTAGAAAGAAACTGTATTGCTGTATTTCAGACACAACACATATTCTGGAACTGCTGGAAAGAGTATCACTTGTTGTTTTCATTGTGGTGCAGATTTCTTTAGGCAAGATTGGTGGAAATGGAGCTTTGGTAGTTGTGTATATGTTTATGTGACGGAGGCTGCGTGTGTGTCTGGGACACAGAAGGATTTGGGGGAAGGTCACCATGTTACCTTTCATGCAGATGCATCTACTCTGAACATTCCATCAGCCTTAGGTGACTTATTTCCCTCTCATTTTACACTGGACACATTCATAAAATATCTTGCTTAGATTAGGGCTTCTCAAATCTTGCTACATATAAGAACCACCTGATCAACTCGGAAGAAATACGGATTTTGAAGCTATACCCTCAGAGCAACTCTGATTCTCATTCCTGAGGTAGAGCCCAGCAATTTGTATTTTTAAAGCTCCCCAGATGAGACTGATGCGCAGACAGTTTGGAAGTTACAGGTTGAGAGCTCAGCACTAGAATTCTCAGCATTGAGCTCTAGAAAACTTAAAACAGGTGCTTATTCTTTGGGGCCAGACAGGAAGCATTTTGATCTTGTTTCTATCATTTGTCAGTTGTGTGGTTTTGAAGAAGTTAATTCACAGAGAATGAGCCTCCGTTTCTGTATCTCAAGACAGTGGAAATAGTACCTGCTTTAGAAGGTTATGAGAATTAAATTAGGTGGTATTTTGAATGGATATGGATAAATGCCTAGTTGTTTGCTCAGGATAATGATTATCATTTTCTGGCCTTGGTTCTGCCACTAAGTATTTATGTGAACTTGAGCAAGTCACTTAGCCTCCAAACCAGTTTCTTAATCTTTAAAATGGGAGTGTTAGGCTAGAAGATTAATATCAAGGGGTCTTGGATTTTTATTTATTTATATATCTACTTTTTTGAGAGCTCCATATGTATAGGAGCAGAAGACCTAACCTTTACCCACCCAACCTGGAGTAGTACCCCAGCCTGGCCCTAGTATTTGTGTCTAAGACAAATAGGAAGAGGACACATAGTGTGATTTCAGACTGGTCGTCTCACTTGACAGTTTGGTTCGTTCTCTGTAGAATAGAAAGCTGAGATGTTTTCTCAGCAGCTGATCATTTTTTCCCCTAGCTTTACTAGCTGGAATCCAGAAGGATTGTTGAGTGGACACAGGAACTGTATTTAATTTTAAAATCCACCTGGCAATGATTGTGAACTCTTACTTGAGTCCTTGCTATACGCCAGGCATTGTTCTAAGGTTTTTCTTGTCTTTTATATTCTTCAAAATGCTTTTAAGAAATGGACACTGTCGTGATTCTCATTTGGCAGGTGAAAAAAACTCGGGCACAGAAAGGTTAAGAAACTGCTCAGGGATCACACAAATAGTGAGTGGTAGCATCCTAATTTTGAGTCTGACCGCAGGGTGTGTTGTATGACTGAGGCTTTGGTGATAGTGGTGTGGTCGCTGGTGGTTGTAATCTGCAGTGGTTATATCCAGCTGTATTAGTGTACGTTAGTTAATGTTTTTTATGTATGAGAAGGTGGTAAGGGCAGGAAATCAAATAGTAGAAATTAGTCCTATCAAACGGTAATCTGAAAACTGGCCTCATGGTAACACAGGACGTCAGTATTAGCACTTCTGAGCAAAGGGCAGGAGAGGGAGCTTTTTCAGCCTCACAGCTCACGTCTTAATGACTATGCTGTAGTTGAGGAATGACGTTTGATTGACAGAGAAGCTCTACATAGAGTTAAGGCCAGTTTTTTAACACCTTAAGATAATTTTTGAGAAATTTTCGAAGGCACAGAACATGGATGGCCATTCCTGAACAAGCCAGACTTTCAGAGATCTCTGGATTGATAGTTCCTTGAAATGATGATAGCAAACAAACTTCCTCCATTATCTGAGCAGATGCAGATCTGTTGAGGATAGGATTAAGCTAAACCAGTTGACGGTTATGATGAATGAGGGAGTGATTTTGGATCCATAGGCAGATCTTGCAGCACCTCAAGAAAAAGCAAAACAAAATAAAACAAACAAAAACATAGTAACTCAAATCTGTGATATGATGGGGCATAATTCTTTTTTGATGGTGGTACAAACTTCAGATGTTTATATCTGAGCTGAATTTATATCATTTGAAAATTGTTTATTTTAATATTGGAGACAGTGGTTAATTTCAATATTGGAGAGGGAGAAAATAGTCAAGATGAGCCCTCTGAAATGCTATCCTGGAGTTGTCTTTATACATAATTTGTTGGGATTTCCAGAAAGTTTAAACTATTACCTGCTTAGCACTTCCTTGCAATGAGGGAGATTTGTGTCACCCATAGGAATTGCTGCTACTTTGTCTTTTGACTAAGAATACAGAGGTTGATGAAAAGCAAATTTCATTTTCAATACATGTTTTGGAGGTGTCTGCAGTTTGGATCCCATTGTGAAGATATTTTGTTAAGATTGATTATTTCCAGGAATGCTGATAATCTGAACACTGATTTAGGGATCCCTGCATTGGCTTCTCTGTGCCGAGAGCACAGATTTTCCTAGTTCTACCATTTATTCAGCCCTGTAAACTTGGGTGAATTTCTGAACATCTCCCTGCCCCTGTTTTCTCATCTTTGGGAGATCACAACGTAATTTCTTCCATGTGGTTGCTATGAGGATCAATGAGTTAATGCATCCACAGTACCCAGAGATTTCCTGGCATAGAGTAAACATTTAATAAATGTGAACTAGTACTCAGATAGGGGAGCTGGTCTTTCAAGTTTACTTTATACCTTTGTCCATCATCATACGAAGATTGTTGCACCGGGAGTCAGATGCCTTGAGGTCAGCCTCTGCTGATTGAGTGGCACTAGGCAAATCACCGAACTTCTGTTTTGGTAAAACAGGGCCAGCAAGGTCTGCCCTATTTTCTCTCATACAGCACTCCCTTAAATGGTCACCAAAGGTAGAATTTTCAGAGTATCCATATTTTCAGGAATGCTTCATATTTTAACATCTTGTACACTTTTTAACCTCTTTCACTATTAAGAGTTTGACTAGAGGGGTACCTGGGTGGCTTGGTTGATTAAGTGTCCAACTTTGGTTCAGGTCATGATCTCACGGTTGATGAGTTCAAGCTTTACATGGGGTTCTCTGCTGTGAGCACAGAGCCTGCTTTGGGTCCTCTCTCTCCCTCTCTGTGGACCTCTCTATCTCTCTCTCTCTCTCAAAAATAATGAATAAATATTAAAAATAAAGAATTTGACTAGAAGCAAAGTTTGGGGGGATTTATACCAGAGCTACCACTTTTCTCTCTTCAGACGTTAGGTTTTTCCATCCCTGAGATTCACCTGTGGGTCAATGTCTGCTTAGTAACCCATTAGTTATTTCAACCCCAAAATAAAGTAAAGTGGTTTAAGTTTGATTTCCATGCTTTTCCAATGAATTTTGATATTACTAGTGCTCTCAGTTTCAAAACAATCAAAATAAGATCCTTGATTCTAAGGATTTCCATCCTGTATCAGGTTTCTCAAAGATGATTGCCATCCAACCAGGAAGATAGCTACAACTCACATACTTAAAAAAATGTGGATTGTGACTCACGCTCAGTACAGAAAAGAAATATCAGTCCACATTCATTACAGTGTTTTAACTTGTAGCACAATTGAAGGCTTCCTAAAGAGGGAGATTTAAAGCGATGTCTTTAAATTTACAGTTTAGCAGGAATTTGTATATGGAGACTAATTTACAACACTTTAAAGGATAGATGTGTGTGTGCAATTGGAGTGCACTGTGGATACTTCTTAGATCCCCAAGGGAAGGGATCTGGATGTGGTTAGATGGGTCTGGAAAATTCAGTGGCCTCCCTATACTGAAGAAGCTGTAAGTGGGCTGCCTTGTCCTGGAAGACAAGGAAGGCAAGAGCTGACTGGTTCCACGCAGTACCCTTGCCTCATGAGACCTTGTAGTAGGTTCTGTGGTTTCTGTGTATATTCCTTCATTATCTCATTCTTCTAAGAATCTTAAAGAAAGGAATCAGCCATGATGTATTAACCATCTTCAGGAGTAACAGTTAACTCATAGCTTTTCTTTTTTTTTTTTTAATTTTTTAACACTTATTTATTTTTGAGGCAGAGAGAGACAGAGCACGAGCTGGGGAGGGGCAGAGAGAGAGGGAGACACAAATCTGAAACAAGCTCCAGACTCTGAGCTGTCAGCACCGAGCCCGATGTGGAGCTCGAACCCATGGACTGCGAGATCATGACCTGAGCCGAAGTCAGATGCTTAACCGACTGAGCCACCCAGGTGCCCCTAACTCATTGCTTTTCTTAATGTCTCCTGTAATGTTTTTCTCTCACTCTTTGGAGGAGAAGAAGGTCTTGTGTTGCCAGACAAGTCTGCCTAGGACTTTAGTCCTATGATGGGAATGCTTGTGGATTTCTTATATCCATCGCGTTGATTCTCTGCCACCATGATGGTTCCTGATTTCCTCTTTGTGATCACTCTCAGTTCTGTCTTTTCCAAAGGCTGAGTATGGTTTGAAAGAGGAGACAATCTGTGGTCCTGCCAGGATAGAGGGGAGGTGGAATTTTGAAATAATTTTGAAATCATTTCTGTATTTTTGGTTATTAGACCTAGAGCCAGCATCTTAGCACAAGTCGGTTTCAGAAAGGGACCGACCCCTATCTTTCCTTTTTATTTTGGGGGGAGGGAGGAGTTGATTTCAATTGCTCTTTTGGTACTGTGCAGAAAAAAACCCAGGTACTAATTGATCCAGAGCCAAGCTGCCAAAAGTAAAAAGCCCATATTGCTCCGACCCGAGGAGAGCCGTTGTATTGTTTGGTGGTGGCTTCACCTTGTTCCTCTCTTGAACAGAAATGCAGGGCTGGTCTCCCGTGGCTTTTAA